TAGCATTTAACAATTGTTGTTCATGACGAAAAATTTCAAGAACGAGGTTTTAACAATGAACGAGAACGAGAATGTTTCCTTCTTATTAACCAAACTCATGCAGCTGCAGTTTTGTAAGAATGTATCATCTTTTCCACCAACCGATTTCCTCTTTGATTTCCTCTTTGAAGTCCACTAGATAGAACAACAAGAGGATTGTTTCGAATTCTTTGGGTTCTTGTTGAATACTCTTAGTGAGCAGGAAAATAGCAGAGTCAAAACTCCTGACCGCTCTGGATTGAATGATTCCTTACAGTCTATCTCGTCGTGTGTTTGTAGATCTTTTGCTGGAAAAATCCTCACTAGTTAACTTTGCCGTAGATGTTCAAGAGGTTAGACAAACGAATGTGACTTTCTGAAGCTTGAACTAGCGTTTCTTAATATAACTGATAGGCAATCCGTGCAAAGATTATTGCTGAATCATCTGAATATAGAACTTATAACGCCAAATATGCGCCAAACTAACTGACTATTATAAGACAACAAATATAGCTGAAGCATCAGTCAATCTAATAATAATACTGATGATCGTCAAACATCACTCCACCTCCGACGGAAGCATCAAACTCTTACGAAGGTTCGAAATGGATGAACACTTCAATATAGCAAACGACTATTACAATCTTCATGCAGTCATTGTTCACTATGGTTCTGGCGTTGAATCTGGTCAAAGACGAAACGGATTGGTTTGAGGACGATAATCGTGTCACTAAATATTCTGGCAATATTTTGAATTTATTGGAGCCTCTCATTTTATTCTATGAAACAGAGGATATTGGTAGATCAAGATCTTCAGATGTTGTGGTTTTTTCAGGTTTTCCTGCAGCTGAAAAAGCAAATGGGCCACTGGAATTGATCAAGTCGCCCCGAAGTGCCAATCAATTTTTGTTGTTGTTTCATAATTCAATAATTTGAATTACTTTCAATAAAATCAAGCCTCCATATTTCACAAGAAAAAATTACAATTGAATTTTGTAAAGTAATTGGAAAATGAACAGGGTTCATGTAATTTAAATGTTATTTTTATCTTTTTATGTCGACTATGAATCGAAATAATCAAATTCACGAATAAGAATCATTGAATGAACAGATATTCATGAAGTCCATGAAAATGTATTAATAAAAACATGATAAACAGCATTCACTGAAGGAATTAATGCGTTCATGAAAACCATGAATATGTTTATTGATATTAGCTCCAGAAAATATGCATACACTTTAGACTGTGGACCTGAGGTGACTTGTTGAGTTCGATTTTCGTGGGTTCTGTCTAAGGAAAAAACAAGGCTGGGAAACAATTACTTGATATTCCAATTTAGCTAAACCTCAAGTACCTACACGTTGATACATATCAACTTCGTTATTTTAAGGTTTTTTTATTAACTTTTGTCGACAAAAAGTTTCAGACGATTACTGTTTGCATTTCTTTATCAATAAACAACTTCTAAATTATTTGCAACCTTATTTATATGTTAATAATATCGCCGGGCAGATAAATAAATTATCAAATTAATCAAATTGCATTCATATTTGTTTTCTTCTAATATTTTTTCAGGTTTTCCATATACGATATTATATCCCCCCTTCTCGAAATGTGGAATATCGGTCGGTAACCGGGCGGTTCGACGTGGGTGCTTTGTTCACTCAGTCAATCGGCCGATGTGTGAGTCGATGGTTCAAGCCGCAGGCTGAACACTTGATTTTCACTTGCTATCGTCCAACCCGTGTTGGAAATCACACCTTAAAAGGTAAGACCTCGTTAGTCCTTAGCTCGCACAGGTTTCGAATTCTGGGGGTTGTCGTTCGTAGGTGTGCGATAGCTGGTTAACGGAAAAACATATTTTAAACATATTCAAACAAACATATCAGATGTAGGAGTTACGGATCTTTTAGATTAAGTATGTTTCTTACAAAGGAAAGGACCATGCATGTATTATAAGAGAATCGGAGCATTTTCTTAATTGAGTCAAAGTTTATCACGCTATTGAATCCCATGTGGATTGGTACCGTCCAAAATTCGACAATTTTGTTTGCACATTCATCCAGAAATGGGCCTCATCGCTAAAGTACAGACCCATGTCACGATGCAAAATTCGTCAAGTTGTGATCTACGAAAGGCCGAGTTCTTGGGTGCGACGCTAAATCGACTGCCTCAAATTCTCCTGCAGACTCTCACAGACAGCGGCGATGTTTTCTGCAGATCTTGCGTTTCGTTGATGAATGAGTGTTGGTCGATCATTCACTGAACCAGTGGACTAAAATTTATCCACATTGATAATAGTTTTTCTCGGTAGGATGATTATGGCGACCGTAAAAATGGGCGAAGCGTGCGGTACGTTGCCCGAACAGAACACCCATTTTGATAAACAAAATCCATTATTTGTACGTGTTGTTGAAATATATATCCGTACATGGTGATATGGCAAAACATACTGAATGAATGACAACTAATGGCCGGTATCAATTGTCAAATGAAAATCCCTGTTGGAAGACCCTATATTACCAAATGTTACGTCGGACATCATCAGAGGAATGCGCGTCGACTGCTAGAAAGAAAGTTATACCTGGAAGTCAACGCGTATATCACTGATGATGTCTGCCGCAGTAGAAGACGAAACGTTTGGTACTTCAGGTTTCATTTGAATAGCAGCCCAGATTTCGCTCTCTTGAGTCCATAATATTTCAGTTACTTTTGCCTCATAATTAATTTTCGAAAATAATATTACCCTTTTTAATGAAATATAAACCCATCTAGATGAATTTGTGGATTTTTTAAATTAGAAAAAATGTAGGAATTTCACGAAGGATTTTTCGAAACGCTTCTACAAAGTAGGATCTGCTAAAAACTGCCAGAAAATAACTACTTCCTCTGCTAATACCACGATGGCCTGCATGTATGAAACCATCGTTTAAGAAAAAGAAATTTCAATTGGCAACAACTCTATCCCGTGAACAGAGCTTCAAGAGCGGGGAATAAACATTCCATGCATTAATAAGCCAAAAGAAATCAGAATTAGTCTGATGACTGTATCGAGGAGATATAAAATGTATAAGAAAAAGACATTTCAAGGTGGAATGTCAAAACAGTCATCTTTTTCAACCTTCCTACATAGTAGGATCGGAAAACAACTACTTCCCCGGTTAAAACCGCTATTAACATTGAATGATATCCGAAATACATTTATGTAAGTCATCTCATAGACTATGGAGGATGTATAGTCCCGATCATCCAGCAGCAGAACTACGTTGAAATCAATCAAGTAGGTCACCTACAGACCGACTTCCAGAAATTATCCCCTCACAAGAATCACAGGTGATATACTCGTTTGATTTTAGAGCATCTGAAATAAAAAACGATACCTACTGTATTGACTATTCACTTGAAACATGTTTTAATAGACCCTAAAGCCTTCGTACTTCAACACGAATCACTTCAATCCTCTATCAACCATAGAATACAAAAGCACACTGTTCCAGAATCTTAAATGATTATAGTTTGGTTGGCTATGTTCAACATATTTCAAGAAAAAAGTAATAGTAGGTATGAAATTATTCACTTTTCCAGCTAACCGACCCCGTCTTCCATACATCAAACATTCAAAATGTGCTTGAGATATATTTTGTAGTTTACTCATTGTATTATAATAATAAGAATGATATTCTTTATTTACCAGAACACAGGATTATAAAAAGAATAAGGTCTATCAAATACGATACAACATTTCCTATGTAAACTGAAAAGGCGGAGTTCATCTTTTGAGCACCTGAAGTGCACAAAGTGGGTCTTCCACTCAACCTTTGGACAAGCAAAATAAAAGATCAAAATTGAGATAAACTTTAGATATATGTGCTGATTCAAATAACCGCTTTCTAAATATTAGAGAATTTCATACATTCAGACAAATGTTTTCGAAAGGAGGAGAGTTTCATATTCTTAAAATCATTTCGAATATAGCATTGTAGGTATTCGATATATTATAGGAAAAACTTTTCTCAAACAATGATTATTTGTGGATTGGTGGTGTTATAGTTCCTTTAGATCTAATATTGAGATTGTGAATGTCAGTGCGGAACACAATGTTTCTGTGAAGATAGAAGGTAGTTTTGGTAGTATTATTTTATGATATAAGGTGGAGCAGTGAAGTTTTCGGCGCGTGATTTCACATATTGTGTATATTTTGTATTTGTATCATTCGTGAATGACATTCAGTTTCCATAGTGAGTTTTTGTTGGAGAAGATAAAAATATTACTGTCTAGTTCAAATCACTGATTTGAAGTAGTTTCTTCAGATGCGACCTTTCTTGAGATTTGTCTCTGTGCGTCAAATTTTCACATTGATATTTTTTCAATTTATCATTTCTTTCTTCATAAGTTTCCTATTTCTTGCATATCAATGAAACAGAAGAACACCGAAAAAGTTATTTTCTCATCTTTTATTTAAAAGTCATGTGTTTTTCAAGCTCCATATCTCAATAAATATTTATTTTACTGTATCGTGGTATATACTGATTGATAGAGAACTTTGAACTCTATACTTAGATGCTGTTAATTTTTTTACAAATTTGAATTTTTTTCCTCTTTTCAGATTAATGAACGCACTATTCGACGTTGGTTTGCGAACTTCAGTTCTGGAGGTTTTAGCCTCGAAGACGAGCCTCGAAGTGATCGACTTACAGTAATTCAGGAAAAGGATTTGAGGATTCTGATGGAGACTGGCTCGAAAAGTCGGCGCCTAGTCATCATCTTGAAAGTTTCATCTGTCAATTTCACTTCAAAATAAAGTATTTATTCATGCAAATTTCAATATTTTGAGTTGACTCGTTCAAGAAATAAACGGAGGAGGGGGGCATTAAAGAAATGCACTGTATATTAAATCACGTCTACCAAAAAAATTATATATTTTCTCTATTGAAGGGTATTAGTGGGGGATGGAAATCTCTAGGACTCAATGAAATACAAGTCGTTAAAAATAGATTGTATTAAAATTAACATCTCTTAAAGTTCCTCTTTATTAACAGTTTTTGATTCTAATAAATAATTTTCAGTATTATCACTTTTTTCAAACCATTCCTGGTAAACCTTAATTGGGTCGATCATCCAATGTTTATGGAAGGAAACAGCATCGTGGGTGTCCAAATAAGCGGCGGGATAATCGTTTGGTCTGGCCTGAAATGAGGAATTTTCAATTAAAATTTTCATACGTAGTGTTGTATTTTAATTGTTGACAAGTTGAAACAAGATATTGAATCGAATACGTATGGCTCAATCTCGATTGCAGTTCATATACATAAAACAATGGTCAGACTAATAAGGAACCGGAGTTCAAACTTGACAAAAACTACCAAATTGGATACAGAAATCTTATTTTGACAGAGAATTTTAACTTTAGTATAGAGGTAGAGGATCAAGAAATACCTCGTTTTGTTCACTTTTGAATTTGGTACAGTAGAACTTTATTGAGGAAATCTACAAAAAAAACGAATGTTAGGCAAAGTTCATCGTGTTAATAGCACGATGTTTTACAAAAATTGCTTTACTCGTTCATTCACATAATATAATTTGAAATTCGATTCCAAGTAACAGTTTCAATTCTTCTGGAGTTCATCTAGGTTTACTGAATTTTCTATGGAGGTTTATTAGAAGCTATATTGATTTTAGTCACAAATCATTATAATCGTTTCCTTAGATTGAAAATATTTGAGTAAGAGTTTAGTCTTGAGTGCTACATAATTCAACCATTTAGTATTATAGCAAATCTGTTTCTATAGAAGTTCTTTTGTAACTGAGATAGATTGGTAGAATCTATTATTATTCCGTAGTAAAACTACGGTTTAGTTTAGTTTAGGTTAGGTCCAAAGTGAGTGGGTCTATTCGACCCTCCACTGCAACACGCAAGGGTTTATTGTGGCTCACACCTATTCACACAGTTGTTATGAATGTTTATAATTCGTTAAGAATACAATATCCGCCCGGAATAAAAAGTAAGGAGGAAATAGTGCAAAAATGCCCGAGTATGACCGGTGTCAATGGATCGACAATTCTCAGAATTCTTAGTGATCTCAAGTAAAACACCAGCTCTTTGTAGCCGAAAGTATCCACTAGTTATCTACGAAAGAGTCAAGAATTCTATTAGGAGAACAATACACTCTTTTTATCAATTCAGAGGTGTACTTTGAAAGTGACGGTTTGAATGGAATATAATTTGAAAATTCTGAAAATTCCCTATAGAGTTTAGGCATCACAAGATTTTGTATTCACAAGATACCAAGAACTGTTACACATTTGACTCGGAGGGACGGTAGCCGGTTGCTTAGCATGGGTGGTTAGGTCTACTTATTCAATCAACCTCTATGTGGAACGTTAGTTCGATCCCGACGACCTGACGATCGAATTTCATTGCGTAACACCCAACCCATGCTACACACGTTAAAAGGTAAGGTCTCGTTAATACTCTGCTTACTCCGTTTCAGTACCTACGGTTTGTCTTTCTGAAGAGGATAACTGCTGGTTAACGGAAGAAACATATTTTTTAAATTGGATAGTTAGGAGAGCCACCGTGTTGATTTTAACAACTGAGTACGGAAACCTTTGAAGAACATGCTTGAAAACAATAATCATACAATATCATCGGACCCCATTTTTATAGGCAAAAGTAGTTTTGATGATCATTTTAATTAAGGCAATATGTTGATGTTCGGTGAATAACAAGGATATGCTTTCAAAGTACAAGCACTATCATTAGGCATCAGTTCTTAGTAGTAAACAATTGAGAAGTTATGTCTAGTTATACTTCGCTCGGTTACTTTTTCATCTAGGAACCAGGGCCTGTTGAACTTCCCAACAAACAATGTGATGGTGGCAAAGGTCTGGCCAGTGAAGTTTATGCTGGGAAAGTGCCTGCGTCGGTGAATTGTCAATGGTTTTATATATTATATTCCCCAGATGAAAAAGCGTTTGAACTACTTTATGACTGTCGGACATTTGATTAAGCGTCGTTGTGGTCATGTACAAGTTGGGCTAGACTAAACAAATGTATATATTACATCCTGCCGATGATCATACGCTTGGGAAAGTTAACAACGCTGAGGTGAGGCTTTTGTGGCTAGCGTTGCCGACACGAGGGCTTGCGAGTTTTTGCGAGAGACACAGAGAAGTGAGTCACCGAAGCCCGTCGAGGCTGAGGAAGGTGGCCTAAATAGGGGAGCGCATGGTGCGAAATTTAAGGAAAATCGGTAGTGAAATCGTAAGATGGTATTGGATACAGATAAAAAAAAGGGATGATGCTAGGGGTGAGGGGGGGGCTTTTCCAGTAAGTTTAAATAAGCCATAATGCTTGCCCCTTCCAACATAAATTGACGTGTTTTTGGATTTTTCCTAAATACCAGTATTACAAAAGTTATTAAAGGTGGATACTTTTATCTGAAAAGCACTGTATAATACTATAGCTATGTGTTTATAATTCGTAAAAGCTCATGGCTTTACATTTTAGTCAAGTCTTATAAGATTGGAATTTTATCTTGTTAACTTGTTTTTTTATTTTTTTGTCCATAGAGTCGTTGTCGAGTCGCGTTGTAGGAAAACAAAAAAAATTAGAGACTTCTTAGTCAACTTATCGAGAAGAAAATAGTAAGGAAAAGACAATCAGTTCAAAATTTTTACGAGAATATTTTATATTTCGTATTTCCATATCTCCGTTCCACGTTAGTATGCCACAATTCGATAACTTCCTCTCGAATTCATTGAATATTTTATATTCCGTATATTCACGAAAGCGCGAGAACAGCAACACTCCATCCGAGAATAACCTCCATTAATCTCGGTGATGTCTGTCAATTGTCATGGTAAACTTATGTTCAGTCGTAAGTCCTGTCGATTTGTTTATTTTTGACATTTAAAAATGTTTTGAATTTGTTACATTTTCATTTTATCCAGTGATACAGTGAACTGTACCTAAACAAATATGTTCCAAAGAAAGACAATTATTACGTCATCAATAATAAGTACGAATAACCTAACCTGAAAGTTTTCACACTCGTGCTGTTCTTTCATGCCTTAGTTATTTTTTATATCGTAATTTCTTGTTTGAGTGGCATTTCATAATGCCTAACATTGGTCAATATGGTAAAGCCTGTGAGCACATATAGAAAAATCTAAAAACAAATTGAAAATTTTTCAATCTTAAGTAACTGATATAGACTCCAAAGCTAGTACCAGTTTTTGAAAGAAAAAATCATCGAATTGCGGAAACCACTGAAAGAAGTGTACTTGACCATGTTCAGCTCATTTTCCAATAGAAGAATAATTTTTTTTCAAGTCATCAGCCGTCTTTGCTCCCAGTATCATTTTCACAAGTTTTTCTTAGGTAACTGAAACAAAACGTAAAGATGTCGGGAGGTGTAGGTGTTCTTGGTATCAAATAGGATGATGTTACCAAGATGTTGGCGGTTGGAACACATCTTGGAACTGCAAATGAAGATTTCCAAATGTTCATAAATGTCGTTCTGATGGAAGTCATATTATTAATCTTCGTAAAACATGGGAAAAAGTCTTGATGGCGGCACGAGCTCTTGTGGCTATAGATCAACCTGATGAAGTGTTCCTCATTTCATCCCATCCTAATGGACAACGTGTTGTTCTCAAAATTGCTGCACATACTGGAGCTACTCCCATAGCAGGAAGATTCACTTCCGGTGCGTTTACTAATCAGATTCAAGCTCGTTTATTGATTGTTACTGATTCAGCCTTAAATCATTAGCCTAATACTGAAGCTTCTTATGTCAACATTCCAGTTATTGCTTTGTGGAATAACTACCGATTCTCCTTCAAGATTTGGTGACATTGCTATTCCTGGCAATAACAAGTCTCCACACTGTATTGGTCTTCTCTGGTGGCTATTAGCTCGTGAGGTCCTTCGTCTTCAAGGAACTTTTCAATGCGATACCAAGTGGGAGGTTGTAGTCTATTCTTTTACAGAAAACCTGAACTGACTGGGCAGCTGAGGTCGCACCAGTTGCTCCTGTAGTAGCTGGCGCAACCCCTACGTATACAACTAGCAGTACAGACGACTGGGCAGCAGAAGTTCAAGAACAGTGGACAGCTACAAATACTACACAGCAACCCGCTGTTGCTACCAACTGGAGAAGTTCCAGTGATTGGCAATGAAATTGTTTTTAAATAATGACGTGTGATACATGAATTTATATCAAAAAAATAGAAAACAAATCATATAACTATTATATGAGTCTCCTATTGAAGAAAATCCTGAAAAAAATGCAGTTGATTTTGAGTTTGAGGATGATTCTTCCGTTTTCAATGCGAATCGTATGATTATTTTGTACATAAAGAAAGAGTTATCCAGAAAAAAACACAATGAACTTCACATTTCTTGAGTGTTGAACTATAAGGAGAAATATCACTCATACATCTCTTACTGAATTACTGGACTGTTTCGAAACAAAACCTAGACCCGAATACAGTGTACCCGCGATCAACTCTTCAGTACCCGCGTGTACTGGAGATTTTCACGGTTCAAAATGGAGGATCAGAAGGTTGTGAGTGCGAATCTACCATACATTCCTAGGATCACAGATAAAATTGAAAACCTTTTGGAAAAAAACAACATTAATACGGTTTTCAAACCCATCAAGATGATACAACAAGACCTTAGGTCGGCTAAAGATTAAAGAGACCCACTATCAGCAGCAGGGGTATATCGTATGGTACATTTGAGGAAGGTACATTTCGGAACCACCAAAAGATCCATGGAAAGAAGGCTGAAGGGGCATGAAATAAACCATAGGCCCATTGCCCCAACCAGGCATACCATAGCCAACTGGTACGGGAGGCAAAAAAGATCTACAAACACACGGATAATGTCAACAGAAAAGAAGAAGCTGCGAACCTTAACAGAATATTGAATCCCATTCTAAGAAGTTCAAGAAAAGAAAATACCATGATGGCAGGTAGAAAAGGGTCGACGAATGTTATTGACAATTCACCTAATCCAGGTACAGGTATCATCGCAACAGACTACCTGAGCCTATATAAACACGCTTCACGCAGTTTACATAATCCAGGTACAGGTATCAGTACACCAACCTACGAGAGACAACATAAATACGTTTTACGCAGCTGTAATATCCAGTCCTCGGAGATGAACTCAACAT